ACGTATGTGTGATGAAAGTGTATTTTATTTCAACCTTTTCTGGTAGAAATGTATCTAAAGCTAAGGAAAAAAATGAACTTGCAATTTCTCTCTCAGGAATTTATTTTAAGAACAATGGCAATATACCAAAAAGGATAACTGTAGCAACACTATTTGCATGTCCTAAATATGCACTTTCAGAATTATAGTATACCTATTGATCATCATTATATAACATTAAAAAGTATTTATGCTGGGCATGGTAGTACACACCTATAATTCCAGTTACTCAATTGGCTCAGGCAGGAAGACTGGGAAGATCGAGGCAAGACTGGGCCACTTAGTAAGACTCTGTCTCAAAAAAATAAAAAGGACTGGGGATGTAGCTGAGTGGTAAAGTTTGGTACTGGGTTTAATCCCTAATACCAAAAAGGAAAAAATAAAAGTATTCCAGTGTCTGACAGAAGAGTTTGTAGGAAATCTAGAGCAGTTCAGAGAACTGCTTTTATTATAAAGGTGTAATATAATATACAACTCTCAAGTACTACAATGACACTTATATATACATGTAACATGTACATGGGTATTAACATTATCTTCAGATAAATGAAACTACAGCGACTACATTTTTCTTTTGCTTGCATTCTTTGACTTTTTAGGTAATGAGCTTGTTTTAAAACTCAATTTGGGGCTGGGGTATACTTCAGTGGTTAAGCGTTTGTCCAGCAAGCATAAGAGCTTTGATCCCTAGGGCCACCAAGAAAAAAAATATTAAAACTCCATTATCTTTATAACTACCTGATCTGATAAGTTTGCATACACTATTTAAAGCAGTAGTTTATCAAATATAAAATAACACATTTTTGGAATGAGGTTCATAAAAATTTAGATCATATTTCTTCCTCTAGCTTTTCTTGAACTTCAATCACTTCAAGGAAAGAACAATCACTGAATATTTATAACTATGACCACAACTCATCAATTTAAGTTCTTAGTCAGGTGTGGTGGTGCATAACTGTAATCTCAGCAACCTGGGAGGTTGAGAAAGGAGGAGCACAAGTTCAAGGCCAGCCTCAGAACTTAGGCACTGTCTCAAAATAAAAACAAAAGGGAAAAGTAAAAAAAAAAGAAAAAGACTGGAGATCTAGCTCAGCTATAAAGTGCCCCTCAGTTAAATTCCCAGCATGGTAAGTTCTTATTAAGCAGAAGAATAAGACCATGGTTCAGAATATAACTATCACTTTGAAACTAGCCTTAACTATTCTTGTACAAAAGAATTCAAAATGGTACCACATGGAAACATACTATAATATGCTTATGCTAAATGACAGCAATTTTGCAGGGGACACTGACCCTTTCTACCATACATTTTTAAATGTCAAGTCTGATAGCAGAGGTGTTTACAGCATTTAGTGGGTGGAAGCCAGCAATGCTGCTAAACACTTTGAGACCCAGTAAAGCTCCCATAGCAAAGAATTATCCAGTCCAATGTTAACAGTGCTGAGTTGGCAGAGCAAGCACATGGCATGCACAAGAGGTCCTGGGTTCAATTTCCAGAACCAAAAAGAAAGAAACAAACAAACAAAAAAAAAACCCCGCTCTTAATGGACCAGTAACCTTTTCAATATACCTCTCCTTTACATTCCCAATATCAGTGAAATCTAAATTTCTTCTCAATAATCACATACAACCAATGGCTTAATTTGGTGTAGAAATTATCTTTCTTCCAAAATATCTAAATTTCACCAGTATTTCCTTTTTTCATGGCTTCATACTAAATTCATTTTCACTCATAACTAGCAAAACTCACAAGCCATTTTATGAACTTTCCATCTAGTTATAGTGACCAGCAGAAAAGCTGAAGTTAGGCTGAGTTACAGCTCAGTGGTAGAATACTTGCCTAGCATAAGAAAGGCCCTGAATTCTATACACATACACAAAAGTGTAGGTTGTTCTTTGTTCTTGGAAGGTTTAGGAATCTTTATTTGCATATTCTCCATTATTTGGGTACTGTCCTGCATTCCTTGTTGTTTCTCCTAATCCTTTTCCTAGTTATTTTTAGACCCAAATTAACTCATATTGTCTCTTCTACCTATATTATTAAGTACTACTGCAGTAAGCAGATGCTTTCTTCCTAATGTGAGAATTAAAGTACAAAGAATTATATATGAATAATAATTAAAGATTAGTTTAATTAGCTCTTAACATAAGTGAAAACAAAAAAGCAATCAAGCAAATTTTTATGTAAATGGTATTAGAAATAATTTTAAAGACATATGAAAAATGTTGACCTTTTCTCCTCCCAAGTAATATAAAATCTGCAGGGCAATAGTGCTTAAGAACTACTTTAACACATTTAGTGGGTTTTTCCCCCATTCACAGAACTTTTACTCCACTTGCATGAAGTAAATACATGTGTTCCTAACAATTACACTTAGATTGTTCATGAAAATTTCTTAAGGCATTAAACAAAGCTAGCCATCATCTCAAGTTATTTCCCTGTTAACTATTTTTTAGCATGTTAGAGAAGAATCAAGAAATATACATATGTGTGGAAGGCTTCATGAATTTGCATGTCTTCTTTGCTCAGGGGCCATGATAATCTTCTCTGTAACATTCCAATTTTAGTATATGTGCTACAAGAGAAGCAAGCACTAACTAGTGTGCCTTTTCTGTTGTAACTTTTATTTCTATTTTCCTTTATGCTTTCTCTAATTTCTATTAAAATTTTAAAAGTTTTAGGATTGTCTTTATCAGGGTAATTATTTCTACAGCTTTTCATATGTTAAAGTTAGTTTAAACTTAAGATAAGGTCTTACTATGTTGACCAGGCTGATCTAGAACTCCTGGGCTCAAGCAATCCTGCTTCGGCCTCTAGAAACATGAGCTATAGCACCCAATTTGGTTCCCACATTTTCCTAAGTGTCAGTTTACCACATTGGAAAAAAGCACATAAAAATCTGCTTTTTAAGGGCTGAGGCTATAGCTCAGTGGTAAAGGGCTTACCTTGCGTGTGTGAGGCACTGGGATCAATCCTCACCACCACATTAAAAACAAAGATTTTTTTAAAAATCTGCTCTTTCAAATAACTGAACTCTTAATTTTAGATATCTAACTGCACTGTGTAAGTAAAGTAGGAAATTTATCTTCATGGGATAGTTTAAAAAGCCAACAAGAGTTAATTTTGGAAATATAGAAATACCCACTCCCCAATTTAACAGCAAAAATCTTGGGACCATTATAGAAAATTCAGTAGTAAATTAAATTTTTATAATGAGATCTAAGATCAAAGTAATTTCTAGTTACCTGCTGGCCTTCTAGAAGTATAAAGGTCTACTAATTAGAGCTGCTATAATGCCAATATCCTAGGTCCAAATCAAGAGATCTATAATTAAGTCATCTTTCCTTGGTCTTCAAAACCATGCTGTAGTCCACTAGCACTAACAGATTAAAACAGTGCATCTTCACTAATCTGTAATATTTTGTAATGAACAACCAAGTGTCTGCTCTAAAGGTCAGATATAGATGACCACCATTATTGCTGATACATGAAGTAAAAAGTTTGAAATTTGGGGGCTGGGGTTGTAGCTCAGTGGTTGAGCGCTTGCCTCGCATGCGTGAGGCACTGGGTTCGATCCTCAGCACCACATAAAATAAATAAATAAATAAAACAAAGATATTTTTAAAAAAAGTTTGAAATTTTGGTAAGTTTCAAGTTTGAAGGATTCAAATATTCTTGACTGCCTGAAAATTTTTCAAATACAGCTTAAATCATATATATGAACTTTTAATATGATTTCCCATCTTATTCTAATATACATTTGATGTACTACACTGGGACAAAACAAACTTTTATTCTTTAAAGATAGGGACCAATTTAAATTAATACCCATTGTTTTGAATTAGAAGGATTTTTCCTATAGTAATGTAAATATTTATTATGGTTTAAAAGTATATGAAGACACCCTTAAAAATTCAGGTTTACTTATTTAATTTCTGGATTCACTGAAAAATAGTCTCTTTCAAAAAGGCCCTTTTGAATGTACATCCAACTTTAATCATCTTTATCCATAAGACCAAACTATAGGAGGAAAAACCCATGTTTTCTAATGTCTAAAATCTCTTAGGCATGGTATAATGATTCAACTTTATAGCAGAGCTACACAAGAGATATATAAATTTTCTAGTAATCACTTTAAAGTGAAAATTTTAAATATATTTTACTTTACCCATTATTGATTCCATATAATCAATATCTGTTAGTATTTAATAAATGAAATTAACAAAAATTTTATTTTTCTGAACCAAGGTCTCTAAAATCCAGCACGTCTTCAGTACTTCATGCTTCAACTACTCAACAGCTACATGCAGTAGTAGTGGCTTCTGTACTGAACAGAGTGATTCTAGAGACCAATTTATTGACAAAAATGCAATCTCAGAATCTTCTCCACCCTTAATTACAAATGATTTTTTAGGCGACTACAAAACATACCAGAGTAAGCTGAGCACACTGGCAGATGCTTATAATCTCACCATTCAGGAGGCTGAGGCAAAAGGATAGCAAGTTGGAGGCTAGACTCTGCAATTCAGACCCCAACTCAAAATAAAAAATTAAAAGGGCTAAGGATGTAGTTCAGTGGTAGAGAGCTTGCCGATTATGCACAAAGCCCTGGGTTCTATCCCCAGTGACACACACACAAAAGTAGATGTTATAATCTTCATGACTCAATAAGAAATACTGAATGTCAAAATAGTTACATCACTTCTATATGGTCTATGAACTCCCAAAGAGAAGCCCAGAGCGTGAATAAAGTACATATTTAAAGTTAAAAAATAAGACAGTCTTTTCTGGAAAGTAAACTCAATACTAAAATAAAGAAAACTCCTGACTAATCTTACATCACCATAGTAATAACATCGCTTAACAGACAATGCATTCAGAAAGCGTAAAAACCCTATACATTAACAAAATACTTTTTCATGAGAGGCCACCAAATAAGCAATAAGAAAGTTAGTAGTACCTTTGCAAACTTGAAGAACGGTCTTGGATCTTTTCTGAAATATTCAATATCAAACATTGCTTGAGGATCTGGAAGATCAGGGAAGTCTACTGCAAGACGAGCATAAATACCATCTCTTGACCTGAAGTCAGGTATTCCACATGAAACAGATACCTGAAATATGCATGGCATAGTTTGTACAATTAACTCTTCTACCTTTATAATTAGTAGCTCTCTTACCATACAATTTTAGAGGAGAGCTGAAAAATAAAGTTTTGGTTTGAAATATTTTGGGGAGAACAGAAATACCACCTTACCCTGATTTCAAATAAAAGTAATAACACCCAAATAAATGAGTCTAATTAAAACTGCCACATATTCTGTTTTTAATGGTGATAATAAGGAATTTTAAATCAGGATAATTTTAAACCTTTAAGCATTTAATGAACAAATTAACGCAATTGCAATCTGATTGAAAAGGGAATAAACCAATTCAATCATTTAACTAGAAAGCAGGCAAGAATTTCTACCACAATTATTTCCCAAGAAATCCCTCTTATATGGTCAATATCCTACTACCCTCAAGAATACTAAATTCCTATGTTTTCTTTAAAAATTATTTTGCAACCAGGCATGATGCCACGATCCCAGAGACTCGCCACGATCCCAGAGACTCGTAAGGCTAAGGCAAAAGGATTTCAAATTTGAGACCAGCCTCAGAAATTTAGGAAGATTGTCTAAAAATAAAAAAATAAAGAACTGGGGTTATAACTCGGTGTTAACACATCCCTGGGGTTCAATCCCCAATACCACAAAAAATAAACTATGTTGCAAGATGGGCATGGTGGGTACTGTACCCTTATAGTGCCAGATACCCAGGAGGCGGAGGATAGCTTAAGCTCAGGAGTTTTAGACCAGCCTGGGCAACACAGTCAGACCCCATCTCAAAAAATAAATAAAAAACTACATCGAATTATATTTCAGTTCCTAATTTTTTTTTAATATTTTTTAATTGTTGATGGACCTTTATTTTATTCATTTATTTATATGTGGTGCTGAGAATTGAACCCAGTGCCTCACACTTGGGAGGCAAGTGCTCTACCACTGAGCCACAACCACAGCCCGCTCCTAATTTTTAAAAAATGGATTTAGACACTATGCTTATTCTACAAATAAACCCTGACATTTCAAACAGAGGATTCAAAACTTTTACACACACACACACACACACACATTTGGTACTGAGGATTGAACCTATTGGCAATTTTACTACTGTGCTACATCACCAATCCTTTTTTTAAAATTAATTATTCTAAGAAAGGTCTTGCTAAATTTTTTAGGCCAGCCTTGAACTAGTAATACTCCTGCCTCAACCTCTTAAGTCATTGGAATTATAGGCATGTGCCACAGCAGCACTATGTTAAAATTTTATTTTATTTTATAATTTTACTGGAGTTGACTTCACCTTGACCTCAGAGTAAAACAAACTTATCAAAATCACATCTGTGGGGCTGGGGATATGGCTCAAGCGGTAGCGCGCTCGCCTGGCATGCGTGCGGCCCAGGTTCCATCCTCAGCACCACATACAAACAAAGATGTTGTGTCCGCCGATAACTGAAAAATAAATATTAAAAAAAAAAAAAAAAATCACATCTGTGAACAAAATCTATCTAACCTGGGACTTGAATGTAGCTCAGTGGCAGAGCACATGCTTACCATGTTTAAGGCTCAATCCCCAGCAACAAGAACTTAAACAAGAACCAGCTGGGGCACGGTGGCACTCGCCTGTAATTCCAACAGCTCAGGAGGCTGAGGCAGAAGGATCACAAGTAAAAAGTTAACCTCAACAACTTGGCAAGGCCCTAAACAACTTAGCAAAACCCTTTCTCAAAATTTAAAAAAAAAAAAAAAAAAAGGGTGGGGGTGGGGATGGGGGGTGGGGGCATGGCTGGGGATGTGGCTCAGTGGTAAAGCATCCCTGGGTTCAATCCCTAATACCAAAAAAAAAGTTAACTATTCTTGATATTATTTAATAACAATCGTTCACAACTAAAAATGATAGAAAACTCACACCTATAATCCCAGCAATTTGGAAGGCTGAGGCAGGAGGATCATGAGTTCAAAACCGTCTCAGCAACTTAGTGAGGCCCTAAGCAACCTAGCAACATCCTGTCTCTAAAATATAAAAAAAAGGGCTGGGGATGTGGCCCAGTGGTTAAGTGCCCTGGGTTCAATCCCCAATACAAAAAAAAGAAAACAGGACTCAATTTTACTCCTACAGTTGCTCTGGTTGCTAACACACAATGTACTCTATTCAACACATAATACATAACAGTCTTAGGTAAAGTCAAATGAAAAATGTCAAATTACCACAATCCTACAATAGTAGAGCACATGACTTATGTGTGAAGCCCTGGTCAAACCCCAGTACTGCTAAATAAATAAATATATATAAATGTAAATAAAATTAAAAATGACCTGCCCCCCACCAAAAAAAAAAAAAATCATCATAATCCTATCATTTTCAAATGATAAAAGACAGGAATCTGTTACCTTCCCATCACTAAGTTTTTCATTTGTGAATATCAATTACATTTCTGATTTCTCCATGAAGACTGACCAAATAAACAGCATCTCCACCTAGACCCTGACTTCCCATAACAAAAGCAGAATCACAATTCCCTGCATCTCCCTGAAGAACTGTGGTATAATATAGGCCAAAAAAAAATCTTGCCTTAACTCCCATTACCTACTGTGCCATAGATAGAAGCAAATATTTTTTAAAGGCTGTTAGAGAGATTTTTCAGAGTCTCTTTTCCCAAAAACTGAACCAATTTAGCAACTGCACTGCACTCAGATTTTGGCAGTTTCCAAACATCCATTCTAATTAAGGATGAATTCTTCTAAACCAGAAAAAAAGTTCCTTAATTAGAAAAAGAATAAGATAAAACCACCTCTTCCTTTTATAGGTGTTTTATACATCTTACATACCCCAGCTCCAGTTAGAACTATTATTTTTTTGCACTCTTGCAGTAATTTCACAGCATCTTCAATTGTATTAATATCTTTTCTTTTTTTCCTTTTTGGTGGTTCTGAAAGGATATTAATAACAATCTGCCACAGTGTCATATCATCCAATTCAGGTGGAGGAATTGTTTCCGGTAGTAAATCTTTAAGAATTGTTCGAGGATCTGTGCCAATCATGAGATGTTGCTGAACAAAAGTATATGGACCTATGTTAAGAAGAAAAAGATTCAGGTCAAATCTACTTCCAAGAAACTTTTTAAAAATCTCAGTTTTCTGAAATAATGCATTAGTAATCTCTAAGGTTATTTTGCAAAGAAAGAAAATGCAACTTATTTTCTTCTCAAGATACCCTTAATGCTATATACCAATGAGATTAAGAAGATCAAGAATTAGTGCCCTCTTAACCTATAAATATGTATTTCAAGAGTCAAACTGAGGGACAGAGAGGGTCCAGTGGTAGAACATATGGTTTAGCATATACCAGGCCCTAGGTTCAAACCCCAGCATCAAAAAAATTTTAAGATGAATTAACTATAAGTTTTTATGGTTAAAATCTAAAATCATTCACTATAACTTATAATAAAACCATTTACAAAGTTGTTCTATAAATCATTATAGAAAAGACTCTACCAATCCTAAAAGTCCATGTTATTTATCAGGGACATAGAAAAAAAAAAGTCTAGGCTGTAGTTGTAGCTCAGTGTTAGAACACCTGCCTAGCATATGAGGCACTGGGTTCAATCCTCAGGACCACATAAAAATAAATAAATTTTTTAAAATTTTTTAAAATTTTTTAAAATTTTTCCATTATCAACCTTCAATTTGATCTTTACCAGTCTCCCAAGATGACTCATACAATGTTTATGTTTTTTAAATATTATTTTTCACCCTGAAGTTGCTCAGATCAGATTCCTAGCTTGAGAAAATAAACAATATCAACATTAAAAAGGAACTAACTAGTCATCACTATGTTTAGATAGTCAAGGCATCTGAAAAAGCTAGAGTACCAAAATTTTTTAAAAATCACTTTTTAAGATGGTTATGTTACATCTTTGGTATAAAAATCTGATATTGCAGGGTTGGGGGCATAGCTCAGTGGTAGAACACTTACCTAGCATGTGCAGAACTCTGGATTTAATCCCCAATACAAGAGGCAGGGGGAGAAGGAAAGACAACTTTCCCATTCCCTAATTTTGTAAATACTTACTAAGCACAAACTAGGAATAAAGCATTGTACCTACATTGACACAACAGTAGTTAAAGAAACTCAAAAATCCCTGCCTGGGAGTGGAACCACCATTTGACCCAGCCGACCCCTCTCCTCAGTCTATACCCAAAGAACTTAAAAAGAGCATACTATAGGGACAAAACCACATCAATGTTTATAGCAGCACATTTCACAATAGCTAAAATGTGGAGCCAACCTAGATGCCCTTCAATAGATGAAGGGATTAAAAAAAGTGGCGCATATATATATATATATATATATATATATATATATATACACACACACATAAATAATGAAATTTTACTCAGCAATAAAAGAGAATAAAACCATGGCATTTGCAGGTAAATGGATGGAGTTAAAGAGAAGATAATGCCAAGTGAAGTTAGCTAATCCCAAAAAAACAAATTCTGAATGTTTTCTTTGGTATAATAGTGGGATAGGGAGATGGAGCATGGGAGGAATAGACAAACTCTAGATAGGGCAGAGGGATGGGAAGGGTAAGGGAGGGGGCATGGGGTTAGAAATAATGGTGAAATGTGATGATCATTATTATCCAATGTACATGAATAAAGACATGAATTGGTGTGAATATACTTTGTATTCAACCAGAGATATGAAAAATCGTGCTCTATATGTGTATATGTGTAATAAGAATTGTAATGCATTCCACTGTTATATAATTTATATATTTATATATCTCCTGCCTCTGTGGAGCTTGTATTCAAGCACAAGAAGCATCACTGAAAACACCAGGTTTAGAACTTGTTAAAACCTGTTAAGTGGGTTGGGAGTATAGCTCAGTTGGTAGAGTGCTTGCCTTGCATGCACAAGGCCCTGGGTTCAATCCCCAGTACCACAAACAAAAAACCCTGTTAAGTGATATTATGAAAAAGTAAAAAAGGAGATGTAAAGTGAGGAAGAAAGAAACTAACTAAAGGAAGAGCATTCCACAAAGAAGATACAAGTGAACGTAGGTTTAAGAAGGACCTAGCTGTTAGAGAAATAGCATAAGTTAACTTTCATTGGCCTAAGCTGCTTAGAAACAATAACTGAGGACTGGGGGTTTACAGGTCTGTGGTAGAGCATTTGCCTAACCATACACAGGTTTGATCTTAGCACAGCAAAACAAAAACTTGCCATATAACCACGTACCTAAAAAGCTCACCAGTTAAAAGGCAGAGAATTAAAAGTTGGTATAAAAGAAAATACAGAAAGAAAAATATATTCCAAAGCTGCACAGCTCTACTATACCTATCCGTGGCCTTGGAGTCCAATCACTAGAGCTTGCGTGTGAAGCTCTATCATCCTCATCACTTTCACAGGAATGAAAACCATTGGTGATAATTTCATCACTAAACAGAAGATTATCTGCAAAAGAAATCAAAAGTAGTTTAAGGATGCTGAAACAATCTGCATCTAAAATGTATGAAGACCCATAATGATTATGATGCAATCATTCTCACAGAATAAAACATTTAACACTCACAATGAATGTATTTAAAAACGTCTGTGGGGTCAACCTGCACCATTTATAGGAGCAGTTTTCTCATCCTTAGAGATTCTGTTCAGAATCTAAGTTTCAGCCCATCTAAATCTAGAAATTAAGTAAGTATACTTTTCAAAGTATGCTTCAAAAAAAAACCAAAAATAAAAAATAGTCAGATGTGGTGGCAAATGCCTGTAATCCCAGACTCTGGAGGCTGAGGCAGAAGGATCACAAGTTCCAGACCAGGCTCAGCAACTTAGCCAGCCCCTAAGCAACTTAGACCCTGTCTCAAAAAATAAAAAGGGCTGAAGACGTGGGATGTGGCTCAGTGGTTAAGCACCCCTGGGTACCAAAAAAGAAAAAAAAAAAAAAAAGGAAAGAGGGTTTAGAGTGCTTGTCTCATATGCACAAGGCACTGGGTTCAATCCCCAGCACCACAAAAAAAAAAAAAAAAAAGAAATAACGAACAAGAAATACTAGGTGACAGTACTGACCAAATTCTATTGTTATATCATGTGCATGTACAAACATGTAAAATTGTATCCCACCATTTTTATAATTATAATGCACCAATAAAAAGATGAGCCAAAAAAGGAAAATAAAAGAAATGTTTTAAAAACCAAAATAGAAAAAAAGTAGGTTGGGGTGTAGCTCAGTGGTGGAGTTACTTGTACAAGACCCTTGGGTAGATCTCCCACAAAATAAAGAAATAAACATAATAATAATCTAGTTAAACTGAATTTATCAGTCACAAAGGAATTCAATAAATTTGTAAAAACGAGATTTACCCAAATGTCATAGAAATCACAGGGTTGTATTTTAAGAAATAAAATCTAGGAAAAACATCTAAAAGAAAGAGAGAGATTTACACAAAAGTGCCACTCTAGTGACAAACCCCCTCACTCCCTGAAATTTGCACTTTTATATAACACTAAACATACTAAGCTAACTGCATTACTCTTCCCTATTCAGTTGTTTCTTTAAATCAAAGGCTGTTTTACCAGTCCCTAATGCACAGGTTCTTTTTCACATGTGGCCAAATGGGCTTACTAGATGGACCTGACACAAAAATAAAACAAAGACCCACACCTACCCAGGGCAGAAACTCATGAGATCACAAATACAAAACCCTCACCTCAAGGATGACATAATGCAATACACCACCTCTGGCTTCAGAATACCAAAATTATGTCAACTTGTGTTTCGGAATTACTATGTACAAAAGTATTACACTAAACCTAAAACCACTATAAGAAATGATTGGAAGAAAAATAATATTCATAAAAGTATTCTAAAAGTACTATCACTCTCCTGTGCCCACTGTCAACTGCATCACAGAGTGTAATGACTTTGAAAACAGGCATGTTCCTTAAATAACAGAGGCTTTTTAAGAAACACCTTTGCTCTTTTAAAATCTCAAACTTTTTAAGGTGAAAACCAGTGACCCTCAAAAACATAGCACAGGTGTCAGTCAGCTTGCAAAAGCAATTGCAAAAGGTCGATTGACCGGATAGCCAGAAGTTGCAGACTTGTGTACTTGAAGAAGCGGGGAAAAGAATAAAAACCTTTAACAAAAGCAATATGGTAGGAGAGAAGCAAAAAAGTTATTTTAGAAACAACTGCGAGAGCCTGCAGACCTGGCGACTGCGCAAAGCTGCCCAGGCGAGCCGCGGACTGAGTGAAGGGAGGGAGCAAGTCGGCGCACAGCTCCCCCAGCACGGCCCACAGCCCTTAAGGGCGCAGGCGAGCGGAGGGCGGTAGTGGAGAAGGGGACGCCGCGGAGCCAGCCACGAGTCCCCTGCCCACCCCAAAGACCCCCCAACCTGACGCTAGGAGGGGCCCCAGAGAGGGAAAGGGGGATGCGCAGTCCCGGTCGCCCGCGCCCTGCGCACCTCGGTACCCAATCGCCGCCGCCGCCGCCGCCTCTTCCTCCTCCTCACCCTCCTCGTCGTCGTCGTCGTAGAAGTCGTCGGCCGGCGGCGGCTCCCGGGATAGGCCCTGCAGGCCCGGCCCATTGTCTCCTTCTCCGGCCGCTGCCGTTGCCTGGGCCTCTCGCTCCCCACCCGCCGCTGCCGCCTCCCGCCACAGCGCCGCCGCAGCCGCCGGGCAGCCCCCGGCCGCCGGTGGCACCTCTCGCTCCGGGGCCGCCCCACTGGGCTCTCCCAGGCTCCGCCCGAGGCCAGGACCTTCTCTCCGCGGCCTCTTGCGGAGCGGCTCTCCGGCGGGCGGCGATGCGGCCTCCCTCTCGGCCGCCGCTGCCGAGGGGGAGCCGCCGGGCTGAAGGGCGAGCGCCGCCTCGTCCGCCATCTTCCAACTGCCTCTCTGGCCCTCCTCCCTCGCCTCCTCTGCTCCCGCTCGACGCGCGGCACTGGCGCCCCCGCGGCTTGGGCTGCGGGAGATTTAAACCCCGTCACGTGACCCGCCCCCTCGCCGCCCCCGCCCTCCCGCCACTCCCGCCACCCACGCGGGCCGGACCACAACACCGCGGGTCACGTGGCGGGCGGAGGCCCGGGCGTCTTCGGCTCTGCTGGGGCAGGGAGGAAGCGCGGCCTTGCCTGCCTCCGGCCCCACCCCTCGGTAGCCGGCGTGTGGTGCAGCCAAACTCGCCCCTTGGCGGCTTTTCAACTTCTCTTTCAAACCGTCCTCAAATCACTACCGCCGGAGTGTCTGAAGTCAGGGTTCACACTGCGAGTTCCACTTCTGCCTGAAGTGGACACCTTGCCTGTTGTAGTCATGTGTAGATTTAGCTAAGGGTTAAAACGGCCCCTGAGAGGAGATAAGGAATGAAACTGGCTGCGGCTTAATTTCCAGAAATATGTTGGATAGTGAGTCGGTTTTGTTAAAAGTGTAGGAAGTAGAGGCGAGAGGGCACAGCTTCTACCCCAGGGTCCTCACACCATTCTGACAAGTCTCCTTTAGCACATTTTCCTCCTTAGTCAATTGCTTTTTCCCTCTGTCACTTGTGGGGTGGTATGAATTGTCGGATTCTTAAAGGCATCTGTCCCCCTGGAAAGACCTTTGGCCTGGGGGTTGGGATCAGCCAGCCTGCTTTCTGGCCTCAGAATTGGCCCCAAATTGTGGGTGAATCCCCACCTCTGAGACTATTATCTCACATGAATAATTACTGTGGTAGTGTAGGCTTAAGCAGGAGGATTGCACAACTTATGGAAGTCTCGTCTCAAAAATAAGAGGGCTGGGGATGTAGCTCAATTATCGCCCCTAGGTTCAATCCCCAGTACCTGCTTCAGAATGTAATGGATCAAATGGGATAGCATGGGAGAGAGCACAGAAAGAACAGGACTTGGCCCCTATGCACATCTGTTTGGTTTATGTTTGTGGTCCATTCTTTTTCTGAACCCATTTTTTTCTCATCTCTAAAATGACAATACCCATTTTAAAGGGTTATGTGGTAATTAAATGAGATAACTAGGCTGTATAGTGAGGAATTCAAAATTCAAAAACCTGAATTCTGGGCCTCTGTCAACTCCATAGCTAGCCTTAACTAAAGACCTTATTACACATGATAGATCTTTAGCCAGTGCTTGGTATGGCATAGGTCTGGAGTGCTGCATTTTATGCACGTATGGGGCCTCTCCAAGTTTATAGTACAGCATTCCTTAAATTTAACATGGGCCCTGACTTTATTGCACCAATTACCTGGGTCCCCTTAGGCAATCAATTTAAGCTCTGTTTCTTCAAAATAAGAATGTTAGAAACATATCTAAATTCCCATCTACATCTAAAAGTATCTCAAGTAAGACTTGAAACTCTCCCCTTACAACTAGTTACTTTTCCCTTCTGAAAGTGATTATCTCTCATTCTAGAATCCTTAAAATCATCTTTGAAGTCTTCCTCTAACCAATCAAAGACCAAATCCTATTGTCTTTCCTTCCCTTTTACACTCTTGCTGATTCCTGACTACACAGGCATGACTCCTCCTGGCTGATGTATTTGGCCCAGTTTTCTGTCTACTGTGTGTATTTTGTCCTACAAAATATTTCATGAATGGATTTTCAACCACAGTAGTGGACTGTATGTATGAAATTTTGACAGCCTGTATCCCATCAAAGTAGAAACAAAATCCCTCCTAGCTTTCTTAAGAAAAGGATGTCTGTAAGCTTATATATCCTGTTGCATATTATTATGTGTCAAACTTGCCTTGACCACCTTATTAATACACTCTGAATTAAGCTTCTCACATTGTAGGCCACTTGTGGTGTTTGTGAATTACAAGAAATATTATATGATCAATATGATTTTTAGTGTGCCGAAAGTTCAGAGTTGCAGTATGCATGCAGGTAAGATAAATGAGAGAGAAATTTTATTCAGGAAAACAAAAAATTCCCAACTGCACATCTGGTCTACCAGTCGTTACACACAACTTACCTGAATCTCTAGTCATTTTCTGATCTTTAGTTTGCAGTTACATTCATTTTTTTTTTCAGCTATCCTCTCAAACTTGCCTTGACCACCTGATAATTATTTTTAGCATTAATACACTCTGAAATAAGCTTCTCACATTGTAGACCATTTTTTTTTAATGAGGAAGCTCTTCAAGTTCTTATATAGAAGGATCTCCTAGCTGCACAGTGTGAGATAAAGGAAAATGTGAAAAAGTAAAAGGGACGTGTGTGTGCCACATATTAGTTCTTTTTGCATACTTCTATCCCTAGAATGAGTGCTATTGCCCCTTATTTAGTATATTATTAAATACATTAACCCTATTTTATTTAACTTAATTAATTAATTTGGTCAATCTGGGGCTTAAACCCAAGGCCTCCAACATGCTGAGCAAGCACTCTACCCCAAGTTACAACCCCAACTCCATTATAATTTTATGAAACTACCAAGCTGAGGGCTAGGCCCTGGGCTCTAATGACCTCATCAAGCCCCTACTATCCCATGAAGCTTAAGAAGTTGGCTAACTTTCCTGTTTTACATCCTTTTATTTTAAATCTCTAGGCTGGGCTGTGGGTATAGCTCAGTGGTACAGCACTTGCATAGCATGCTCCAGACTCTGTGTTAGATCCCCAGAAACACTCAGGAACACATGCACATGCACACCCTGTATATGCCCACAGATTTATCATATGCTATTCCTTCATGACTTAATGTATGTTATTTTGTCTTTTTGACAAGGTTGTAAGACAAATATACTTCCCAACAGGTCTTAGTATTCTGTATCTTATCAAACACCATTTGAAATTTCCTGGGGCTTCCAAATTAAAGTAAATAGACTAGTAATCAACCTGCCTTCCACTGGCATTAGATAGACCTAGATCAATCATTCTTTTTTTTTTAAGAATTTTTTTTTATTTTTTAGGTCTAGATGGACACAACACAATGCCTTTATTTTTATGTGGTGCTGAGGATCGAACCCAGGTCCTGCCCGTGCTAGGCGAGCTCTACCGCTGAGCCACAATCCCAGCCCCTAGATCAATCATTCTCAACTGGGGTGATTTTGTCCCCCTATGCCCAGAGGACATTTGACAATCCAGAGACTTTTTTAAAAAATATTTTTTAAGTTGTAGATGGACACAATACACTTATTTATTTATTTGAAGTGCTGAGGATTGAACCCAGTGCCTCAAACATGCCAGGCAAGTGTTCTATCACTAAACCACAACCCCAGCCCCCATATTTTTTTGATTATTACAACTGAGGGGAGGATGTACTACTGACATCCAGCCTGTGTATGCCAGGGATGCTCCCAAACATTCTACAAATACAGAGGATACCCCTCCACAAGAAAGGATTATTTATTCAAAAAGTTAACAGTCCATGGTTGAGAAACTCTGGCCTAGAGTTTCTAGTATATAGGACAAATGTTCCTGGGCTCTAAATGATAAAGATTCCCAAAGGAATGAGGGGCCAAGTTTTTATCAGCAAGGTTAAGTTGCAAAGTAGCATATAGTCAATTATTTTCAAACGTTGGTTTTAGCAACAGAATCCATTTTTTTTTTCTTTTTTGGTACTGCTAGGGATTGAACTCAGAGACACTCAAACACTTAGCCACATCCTCAGCCCTATTTTGTATTTTATTTAGAGACAGGGTCTCACTGAGTTGCTTAGCACTTTGCCATTGTTGAGGCTGGCTTTGAACTCTATCCTCCTTCCTCAGCCTCTTGAGCCTCTGGTATTACAGGTGTGCGCCACCTGGCCCAGCTGTTGGAGATCTTAACTCTATTGTATAGTATAGGTACATTTCTTTTAATATTAAAAAGAATCCCAGGAATCAATAAGAAAAAGAGTGATAGCCCAGTTGAAAATGAAGAGCTCAGACCGACCACACCTGCACACCTGGCTCTAAAATCTTTTTTTCCACTGGGTGTGGCTCAGTGGTAGAGCCTATGCCTGGCATGCACAAGGCCCTGGGTTCCATCCCTAGCACTACCACTCCCGCAAAATATATATATATATATTTTCGATTACACCAAATTTTTGTGAATAAATATTAGTTATTACTAGAATAAGATAGTTTCTGCATCAGTTAGCTCTGAAATACCTTACCCATGTGTACGTAAATGGACATAAATGGAAAGAATTTTGTTATATTGATGTCATCTAATTCTTTGAACTTTCTAGTTTTATACCACAATTCACTTTGTTTTCAAAAAGCATTTTTGATGAATTTCTAGCTAACAAGTTGATTAGTTTCTCCTTTTCAAAAGGATTTGTTAGTTGTGAGAGTCACTTTCTCATTTTGTGGGAAGTTCATCTCAACTTACCAACAAACTACTAATTGTATACAGTTTTCTTCTAACAGAGGCACCTTTTTAAAGAAAGTTTTAGGACTATTAAATATTGTCAAATTCAATACAACACTTTTTTTTTTAGAGAGAGAGAGAATTTTTTAGTTTTTGGCGGACACAACATCTTTATTTTTATGTGGTGCTGAGGATGGAACCCAGCGCCCCGCGCATGCCATGCGAGCGCGTTTCCGCTTGAGCCACATCCCCAGCCCTCAATGCAACACTTTTAATAAACTTACCAAGTACTTTGAATATGTTTTTCTCAAAACCTTGAAGTTCCAGCAGAATATTGTGGCACATACCTGTAATACTCAGAAGGCTGAGGAAGAAGGGTTGAAAGTTCAGTGGCCAGTTTCAGCAACTTAAACCTTGTGACAAAATAAAATGAAAAACAGGGCTGAAATGTAGCTTAGCAATAAAGTATGCCTGGGTTAAATCCTTAGTACCACAAACAAAGCCTTGAAGTTGCAGATTTAGCTTCACTAATGAATACTACAATGAAGTCCAGTAGAAATATAATTACATATGATTACAATTTTTCTTTTCTTTTGGTATGAGGAATTGAATTCTGAGGTGCTTTATCACTGAGCCTCATCCCCAGCCCTTTTAAAAATTT